CCAGGGGCCGCCGAGCGTAAATTAATGTCTGATTCGACCACCAGGGGCCGCCGAGCGTAAATTCATGTCTGATTCGACCATCAGGGGCCGCCGAGCGTAAATTCATGTTGGATTCGATCACCAGGGGTCGCCGCACGTACCTTGATGTTGGATTCGATCACCAGGGGGTCGTCACAGACGCTCTCGACGAACAGCAGACGATAGCCGAGCTGCTCCTGCACCACGTCGCTGATCATCTGCCGCCGCTCCCGCGTCGTGTTCGTAGCATCAAAGATCTGCACGCGCGGAGACACAGAGATTAACGGTTGTCATGGCGACTGCGGCGGCGAGTGCTCCCGCCGGCGATACGGTGTGCATTAGAAATATGTATATATATATACATTAAATACATATTTCTCAACAGCTAATAATACCACTTCATTATTATTGATAATCATTCATAGCTCTTGATATGTATGATATATGATATGTATTGATATATATATATATATACATTTATATATATATATATATATATATATATATATATTATAGTATGTATAGAGTGGTCAAGGTCACGACAACCGCGTACGACGGCGTATAGATGAGTGAGACGCGACGAGAGAGATCGCGCGTGGATAACATGTAAGACACGTGACGAACGTACGAGCGATGGGTCCGCCCATCGACCCCCCCCCTCCTGGACAGCTGCTGCTAACACGCACCACTTAGCAGGTTTACGGGATCAAATCGCCGACCAAATCAGACAAGACGTCTTCATTGTTGTGTACAGAACACCGGTGACGTATCTAGTCGCCCCGGACATAGTACCAGTGTGGAAACTAGTGTAGGGACTACAGGTAGTGAATGAGCTATACTGGTTGAGCTACAATCGACATAGATCTACCAGTGTAGGCTATTCGCTCCTGCTACGTGGCAGTACAGGGGAGACCCCTGTAGTGGGAACGAGGGGGATATACTGGTAGAGCTACCAGGCACATAGATCAAGGGTAGGCATGGATTGGGGGCATGTATAATGCATGAGTCTTGTTTGAGTCGACCACCAGGGGTCGCCGCGCATACCTCGAAGCTAGATCGGAGGTCGCCAAGCGTAAACTGATGTTTGAGTCGACCACCAGGGGTCGTCGCGCGTACCTCGAAGTTGTATTCGACCAGCAAGGCTTGCCGCGCGTACCTCAATGTCCGATTCGACCACCAGGGGCAGCCGAGCGTAAATTAATGTCTGATTCGACCACCAGGGGCCGCCGAGCGTAAATTAATGTCTGATTCGACCACCAGGGGCAGCCGAGCGTAAATTAATGTCTGATTCGACCACCAGGGGCCGCCGAGCGTAA